TTAGTGTTTGGACTTCACATCTATTCTTCCCCCCTCAACTTTCCTCCTCCCCCCACATACATACGACACTCTCTGGGACACCTCTCTCCAGTCCTTCTCGGCCCCAGAGGAGACAGGTTGGCCTAGGTGCAGGAGAACCCGCCTGGGCCCCCACCCTGGCGTTTGTTTGGTCCCCTCCTGGGGACAGGAGTGGGAACGAAGGGCAAGCATCTCTGATCTGGAAGCTCCTTCCTTCCCTGCTGCTTCAGAGCCTCCTCTCGGCCTCAGCTCCTGCCTTCTTCTTCTGGCACAAACTGGGTCTCTTTCCTTCTGACCCTGAAATTGCATCCCTCCTTCAGACTCGCTCTGCCATGCCCAGGGTGCATCTGCCTCTGGGGACATCACCTGCTCGTCTCCCCACCAGCCAACCTTCCTGCCCCCTCTTTTGCACTCACACTGAGAATTTCCTGCTTGTCTAAAGACCACCTTTACTAAGCCACCGTGGGACAGTCCCACGGAAAGCAGAGGACTGGGTACCAAACCCCGAATTCAAACAGGAGGGTAACAGCCAACTTATTGGGGGAAGGAAGCCTAGTTGTCTGTTCTCCCCTACAATCACACGGCTTCTCCAGAATTCCTGTGTCCGATCCCAAAGAAACTGCTTTCTCCCAGCCCGCCGTTGCCTTTTTCCCGTTCCAAAAACAGCCTACAATTTTATTTAATGAAAGACACATTTATGAACAATCAAATGATCCTCATAAAATTTTTATTGAAGGACGTAAAAACAAGCTACTTGCCCACGACTGAGGTCGCTCTCTTGCCTTGCCCGCTCTCACCCTGGCTCTCTGCAGACAGAACCCAGGGGTGACTTCTTTTTTTGGGGGGGGTCAGGGTGTCCCAGAGATGGAACTGGGGCCAAGGTGGGTGAGCAGGAAAATGGGAGGGGGTTGCCCCACTTAAGTTGTGTAGATCTCTCCTCCACTTCTTCCAGCTGGCAAAAAAAGAGAGAGATATAGACAATAAATTTAAAATAGAGGTGCTTGCATATCTGTACCGAAGCAGAGAGAGGACTTTTGATGCTAAAGGTGTCTGAGGTCCAGAGGTCCTACCCCTCCCACCCGCGGACCACCTTCCCTACCCTTCCCCTGCCCCATATTTGGGGGGCTGAGTTGGCCAGGGCAGAGGCACTCTCCCCTTTCTCTCCTTCCCTCCCTCCACCCCAGCTCCTCCAGTCCCCTCCCACCCTCCCTCTCTCGCTGCTGCGGCTCCTGAAAGAAATACATACATACACACTATTGGGTGGACCTGGGCAAGGGGGTTCTCTGCTGAGAGACGAGTTGTCCTGAGGGGGTGACGGATGCCTTGGGTCCAGAGCTCCGGACCCCCAGGAAAACGCAGGTCGCGGGGATCAGCAGAGAAGGGGGTGGGAGAAGGTATAAAAAAAAAAAAGGCAAGGGAAAAAAAAAAAGCCCCTGCGCATTGATCCGCGCCGTATTTTTGGGTAAATACGATCACGTGGGGGCCGGGGAGCCAATGAGCTGCGGGGAAAAGGCTGGAAAAATAATTACCTGCCTTGATTGTTCTGTGAGCAGATAAAAAGTACATATACAGTTCATACAATAATCTTATGTATGTAAAACCCCGTTACGATGTCGGCGACGGGGCCCATCAGTAACTATTACGTGGACTCGCTCATCTCCCACGACAATGAAGACCTCCTAGCGTCCAGGTTTCCGGCCACCGGGGCTCACCCCGCCGCCGCCAGACCCAGCGGCTTGGTGCCGGACTGTAGCGATTTTCCGTCCTGTAGCTTCGCGCCCAAGCCGGCCGTGTTCAGCACGTCGTGGGCGCCCGTGCCCTCGCAGTCGTCCGTGGTGTA